CTAATCCAAATAGCCATTAATAGCCCTGTATAAATGGATGTACACACACCAAAACAATAAATCCACTTAAGGAATAGATTATAGATCTTAGCCTTTAGGCAAACATTGTCTTAGGCTTTAAGCAAACATTGGGTAAGGCTGAGAGAGGAAGAAGCTGTTCAGTCATTACAGAGTTTCCTAAGAAATATTTTCTTTCACTGGTTTTCTTTCACATCTGCTATAAAATTATTATGTACTTGACCTACACATTTTCAACACATCTGATCAAATGTTAATTTTATATTTAAATCCACTAAAAGATAAACCCACTAAAAAGTTGTGTAAATACATCTATTTAATCTCCTGGGCTTTAGCTCAAATTCAGCTTTGGTCAGAAACGTAGAAGAGTCTAGAGATCTCATCCCTGTGCCTACAAAGAACATCTGTGCCCATTACAAAAGTCACTACACGCTCCATCCCTTCTCAGAAGAAGAATAAGACATGAACAGCAGGGAATGTGTCAGCCAGGAATGAGACACTGACAGAGCAAAGATATTAACACTGACTTCAGCCAACAAGACAAATGTCAATTTCAAAAGCATGAAGCCTGTCTGCAAAAGGATTACAAATAAGGCACGGAATAAAGGAGCAACTTTTGTCCAAATGTCTGAAGAGATTTGAAAGAATGCTATAACTGCATTTTCTTGCACAGTATGTTGAAGTTTTATCTTAGCACTCAAACACTAGCAAAGGACTGTATAAATGTAAACAATACCAATAAGATGGATTCCATGAAGGATGTCATCATCTGCATATCTCTGTTGAACATGTTTTAACGACAGAAAATAGCTTCAGCTTTGTAGTAATGGTGCATAAAGACTCCAAAGCTGTAATATAAGTACAACCTTCCTAAAAATTCCCTGGTCCATGCATTAATTAAAAAAAAAAACAACACAAAAAACCAAACCAAACCAAACAAACAAACAAACAAAAAACCAACAAAAAACCAAAACACCAACCAAAGAACCACTAACCCAACACAGGAAGAGAGAAAGCAACTTGCAAGAAATTATTTGCCTCCTGTCCCAAATCAACATGCTTTAAGAAAAAGGCTTTGAGAGGAGCCTCTTTCTCTACAAAGACCATTTATTGGATTTTTCCCCTATATAATCTCCAGAATACATGGCTTCAAAATTTCAAAAATTGAAAAAGCTTCTCCATTGCACCTTTTTGGTTAGGAAATGTTAATTCAACTGAAGACAACCACTAGACAGTTCACATACCTTCAGCATGTACATCCTCATTTAAAATTCTCCACTATAAGATTAACCACAGGCAACTTCATTAAAGAATTCTCAGTCTTTAGTCTACTCTGCAAAGCAGTATTCTTTAGACAGGCTTTGGTCCTACCTGAGAGAAAACATTACTAAATGTTTTATCTTATAACAAGATTTTATGAACTTCTAGAGTATTTTGCTAAGCATGTAAACAACATGTCAATTTTCAGCTGCAAATCATATATTTCCAGAAATCCTGATTGAAAAAGTACTTCTAACCTTGCCTTCCCATATAGTTATATATACAGGTCAATTTAAACCAAGAGTCCAATTCAGAAAAAATACAGCTACATATATCCATATACAGATCCCTGAGTATTTCTTTCAAAAAGTTCCCAAGATTCCTTGGGAAAACTTGGATGAATATAGTATTAAGTGTTCTAGTAAAAAGAGCAAAGGAAAAAAAGCAAGCATAGGTAAATGACCAACTAAAAGTATCCATAAAATCCACAGTCACTGATTAAGGAACTGTGCTCAACACAGGTAATCTTACATCCTGATTTTACAGCTCTTCTTTCACCAAAACTTTCTGTTGGCAGTGATCCTATAATTTAGATACTAAACACCTCCCTGAGACTAGAGAACATTATTTCATTAAGTTCATTAAATGGTAGAATAGCAGCTGGGTGAACATGCGCTTTCTCACATGCCCTCAAATACAGGGGAGGGAAGGATGAGTTCTCCTGGTCCCAGAGTTGTTCCTCCCAGCTCCACTCCTGAACTCACAGGGCAGTGGAGAACTACAAGTGCAGCAAATTTAACCAACAGCAGTAACTATGTGATTATTCAAGCAAGGTCACAAATGCATGTACATCTCAAAGAGGGGCCATGATGAGCTGCACTCCACAAAAAAACCCATTTTTACATCCTAGAGGCAGTTATATTTCTCAAGACTCTTCTTACGGACATGGTAAGGCTAAAAGTGGCTATGACCTCTTCCTGCCTCAGGTCACCAGGCAGAACACTTTTACTCACAAAAATATTTTTATTTTCAAGCTGTTTTGCTAAGATTTTCTACCTAATAATTTTTTGAGCAACTGTGGGTCACAGTGTATCATCCTTTCTAGTATTAACCAGTAGGATCCAAGTCTACTATCCTAGATGCAAAAAGATCCTGAAGCTTTTCTTCCATCTTCCTAACTGCAGGAGACTTACAGGTTTAATAACATCTCATCGCTTTTCATCAGAAACTCCTTGGTATTAAGTAAGATGAAAAAAAACAACTGTAGATGGTTTTGTAAAGCTTCATTTTCGCCAAACATGAAACACACAAAAGATTTATGACAGGACACCTTCAGATTCCTGGGAAAAATTCCACAATAAAAACTAAGAAATGACAAGTTTCCCATTATAATAAAAAACAGCGGTCTTGGGCAGAAATGTTACATAACAGCACAGCTGAGTCCTGTGCTCAAACGTTCTCTCTCAAAAGCATAGTTAAGAAATCTTGTGCAGCTGTACAGTCACGCGTAAGAAATTAAGCAAATTATTACTCTTTTAACCACATCTACTAGATTGGCGATCATTCATGACGCCCATACTTTACCACCTCCCTCTGCCGAGAAAACAAATCCCTCTTTCATTTGAGACTGATACTACTTCTCCTGACTCTGATCTCCATGAAAACATCCTGCAGAGCGCCTTAATATTCTTTGCAGTTTCGTCTACAATCTAGCAGATTCTCCTACTGCAAAGTAAAGTCTTATTTGAGTGAATTTGATTCTTAAACATTTCTTTCATGGATTACCAGATTAGAGATGTCCTTCTCTCAGGATTCTCCTCCTTCCAACAGTTTTTTTCCCCCCTGGTGCTATTCAAAACTGCTGGAGCCAGTTCTATTAACGAGTTCTTATTACAAGTTCTTCCCATAACTTGTCTTCTCTGTAACCCTATGCTGACCAGGTAATTCTTATTCTCAAGAAATTATAAGTGTGTGTCATCTTTTCCTTAAAATAAACTGCCACTGGTGGAAAAAAGCTGTATCTTACCCTTTCAAATACTGCAGACACTCTGACAGTAGGGGAATTGCTATTGATATCCTGCCAGTGTCACTTATTGCATGTGTAGAGGTAATTAACACTGCAAAAAAGTTTGTTATCATTGATACTTCCCTCTATATCACTTCATCATAACTCCATACAAAAGTTTGTCAAAGAAGCTACCCACTTAATCGCATGGTTTTTAGTGTTTAGGAAACTAATACTCGTTCAGGAACCCCTACACACTAATTTAAAAAAGAATAGCCCTCTGTCAATATAGGTGTACAAAAAGACTTCAAGATATAAAGTTTGCAAGCCCAGATTCAAGAAAATGAAGGTTAAAATCTACACTTTCTAAGATAGCTACTTTACTAGTGGTTAACAGTGCTATGAGCTTCTCTGAATGACAATAATTCACAAAATTACCAGCATGAAGTGGAGCGTTAAGAACCTATATCTAGCATTATCTTCTAGATATCCTTGGCTGGCAGGTTTCAGGAACTTCAAACTTACATTTTCTTACCTAGCTCAGTAACTTGTCGATCAAAAGGACAACGAACTGCTCTGCCATGAAGGGGAAGCCGGGTAAGACAGTCATGGCAGACAGTATGGCCGCACAAAAGCAGCCGGGGAACTTTGTCACCTTGCAAAGAAAATACATCTTCACAGACTCCACACTCAAGAACCTGTAAGTTAAAAAAGACCGTATTTGGTTTTGAGCCGATAAAAAAGCAGTAAGCTTTGGTCACAATTTATTTTACAAAAGTTCATGTAATCACAGCACATGAGTCAGGTGAGTCATTAATTTTGCTTTATGCACACAACTAACGATATTTTTGAAGTAAATAAATAATTAGACACAACCAGAACGTTTTAACTCCTCAGCATCCCACCTGATGACCTCATGACTACTTCTTGCCCACTTCATTAAATACAGTGCGCCAAGGGAAGCCGCCTGGTCAAGCAGCACAACTAAGTAAGGAGAAACACCGTCGCAGGAACATGAAGCGGAGGGCAAGACCCTGACAAAGCGGAGTGCTGGCCGGCGGAGAGCTTCCCTTCGCAGCTGGTACACATAAAGAAGTCAATCACATCAAGTTAGACACTTATGAACCTATAAACGCAGCACCAAGGCAACGGGAACAAACAGCTGTGGGCCGGAACATCTTAAACCGTTAGCTAAAAGGAAAACTGATGGTCACTTAGGGGGAAAAAAAAAAAAAAAAAAAAAGGAAACCCAACACCGGACAACCCCTAAGCCCTGCCGCTCCAGGGTACGCCTCCTGTACCAGAGATCCCTCGCTCCCCCTCCTCGGCCGGCGCCGCCCGCCCCGCCGCAGGAGCCGAGCCAAACCGAGCCGCCGCCTTACCTTCACTGCAGCGCCCGCCGGGCCGCGCCCGCTGCCACCGCCACCGCCGGGCCCGCGGCTGCCGTCCGGCCCGGCCCCAGCCCCGGGCTTGTTTACAAGGAGGGCCGCCATCTCGGGGAGGGAGGAGCAGAGCGTCTCCGCAGGAAGGAGCAGGGAGCCGCCTCAGGCACCGCCCTGCAGAACTACAGAACTACGGCTCCCATAGTCCTGCGGGCCGTCCGTGCCGGCGGGCGGAGGAGGAGGCGGTGCGGCCCCGGGCCGCCCGCGGAGCCCTGGGTGCTGTAGTGACGGCCGCCGCAGCCAGAGCGGCTCCGCCCAGCTCTTCCCGCCATAGTGCGGGTGGAAGCCATGGACGTCAATCAGTCCAAGCAGGAGCACTTGCTGGCTCTGAAAGGTACCGACAGCGCGGCCCCGCCGGCGGCCGCCCGGCCCTGGTCCGGTGGTGAAACAGCGTGTCCGATCCGCAGCCGAGGGTGTTTCTCCCCTCCGTCTCAGGAGGTGGATCAGGGCAGGGCCCGGCGCTGAGGCCTGCGGTGGGTGGTGCCCCAGGGCACAAGGAGGCGGCGGGGGCTACTCTGAAATACCCCGCACACGGGTGTGCACCTGGCGTGGTGGGGCTGCGGGGCTGCTCGGCGTGTCCGTGCTTTGCACAAGGCTTCGGTTGTGAGAAAACGTTTAGTTAAAATTTGCTTTCCAGTTCCCCTTGTTTTTCAGGACGAGTGGACGTAGTCTTAAACTATGCCGGAGAGGTTTTAGACTGGGCGTTAGGAGGGATTTCTTCACAGAAAGGGGGGTTAGATATTGTAATGGGCTGCCCAGGAGGTGATGGAGTCACCGACCTGGAAGTGTTTGAGGAAAGGCCTGGACGTGGCACTTGGTACCGTGCTCTGGTTGACATGGTGGTGTTCAGTCGTAGGTTGGACTCCATGATCTCAGAAGTCTTTTCCAACCCAGTTGGTTCTCTGATTCCTCTTTGGGCGGATTTTGCCCTTTTCACCTTGTGCTCAATGCATAGCTACCAGGCCTACTTTCTGGATTCGGGGATCACAAATAGTGAAAATAAAATTGTGTATGTCTCCTGCATGCCTTACAAAATTAATACAAGAGAGCCCTCTGAAGTTTTTGATAATTTCTGAGTAATAAATGCTGCTAGTTATGTTGGTGCAATAAACAGTTGGTTAAAATCTCAATTCTGCAAGCATTCTAGATCAGTGAGGATGTCCAGATGGATCAAGTAGTGCAGCTGTGGGGTTCATTTCGGAGCCCATCTTCTAGTTTTAAAACACTCCTGGACGGAGTTTGTAATGGTATCTGCATGTCACAGTAAAATCTGTTAACCATAATTCAAAGCTCAACAAGCCCTTTTCGAATATGTATAGCTATATACACACAGAACATGAAACATCATGAGCTGACAATATAAATGCATTTTGATAGTAACTAATTCAAAGCAAAAAGTTTTATGATGGGTCATAAGAAACCAGTGCAGTCCTTGGGCTTGTATTGAATTTGGTGCAGTGTCCAGGCTGTAGATTTTGCAAAAGAAGTGAGAAAGATGTGAGGGCTTCTTTGCATTGTGACTATACTAAAGAGAATCTTGACAGTGCAATGATTAGGCAATCCTGGATTTTATTATTTTAGTATTACTTTATATTACTGATCAGGAAACCTGAAATGATTGCAAACTTCTTAAGAGGGTGAGAAAACAGGAGAGCAATAAGAGTGCATGTTATACTTATGTTTCATAACAGTGTTTGTGGTTAATGTATTCTTTTTATGAAAGTAGTAGTTAATGAGTCTTTTAATTATTCTAAAAGTCTGATAGATGAAGCAATTATCAGTTCCTTGAATTAAGGTTGCATGTATTGCTTGGCAGCTCTGAGACTAAAACTGAATGTTGTAGTTCTGATATGAAATGGAAACAGGCAACTTCTCTTTGCCTAGAGCACTTCCCTTTTAACTTTTTACTTTAAAAACTGCTTTATCAGTCAGTACTATTTCAGGAAGGGTTTTTGTAACACACGTGTTGCTTTATATGCCCTGGCTTAAAATATTGATGTGTAGGAGAAAAACATTTTAAAAAAAAGTTGTCGGCTAAATTTGAGAAGATAGGCAGTAGTAATTGTATGTCTTTTAAGATACATAGCAAGAATAGTGATGGATGGCAAGTGCAAGATGGTGACAGAAGAAGAATTCTCTTGCAAAGGGACTGTGTTGAATAAACAGTGTGCATGTGGATAATGTTCAGTGTACTGAAGTTACACTGGTAGTGGTGGAATACAGCCACTAATGTTCAGCCTAGATAAAGTAGAATGTTCTAATACATATCTCACTTATTTTTACTACCTGATTCTTTTTTGAAAAATGTCCTAGCGATGTTTGTCTTACTATGGTAGTATCTTATTGTTTTATAATACTTCTACTTTAGGTCCTGTTTTCCACTGATCTTTGCGTCAAGGAAAAGGAAAGGGCAAGGACATTCTAGTAAATAAGATGTTTCAGTCTAGATTTGAGAATCCTAATCAAGACACTGTTTTCCTAAGACTGTTTTCCTAAGAATCACTGGATTCCTATGGTACAAGCATGGAAGTGGTCTTGCATTATCGACCACATCAGAGAGATGTAATAAAACTGCAGAAATTTGCAGAAGCAGCAGTGAAGGAGTTTCCAATTCGTCAGTTACCAAGATTTGCACCCTGGTTTCCAAATGATTTATACAGACTTCCCCTCAAACCAAAAAAGCGGGCACCTGTTATTTCTCGTGAGGAAGCAGAAGAATTAAAACATCTTTCTACACCTTCAGAATATGTTATAGGATCTCCTGATTACGACTGCACAAAGAATCTGCTTGACTTTCAGTCTAGCATGAAACACGGTTCAACTTTAATCCAAGCACAAGCTGTTCACAGAGCAGTTAACTTGGACTATCAAGGACAACCACCACCTGAAGGAAAACAAAAGTTGAAAAGGTCTTGGAGTATCTCTCTCCCTAGCGCTAAACTCAAAGAAAAGATTCTTCCTTTATCTCAAGAACTGCAAAATAATTTGGAAAGACTAAAACTGCATGCATTTTATAGAGCAAAGTGGACAATTGAACAATCTATTTGTAATAATGAGAATTTGGAGGACATCTGGATAAAATTGAATAGACTCATCAAGGAGAATGAATTGCCCTCTTGCAATGCTACTATCCGAAGATCTGTGGGACAGATATGGATATTCTGTGATATATTATACTGTGAATATGTTAGAAATATTCTTAGGGAAAAGCTAAGCCTTACAGATAAAATGAATTTGCTTGTACATAAATATGGAATTATATTTAGTTTATAATTTAAGATACAGTTTAATAATAAAATTACTGTCTAGAGTACTGGAGTTTTTAAGCAGTTTAGAATATATAGACTTTAGAACAACTGATGAATTAATAAGCAAAAACCTACTTATATTACTTTGCTACAGTTTTCTAACTAATGATATATTTCTTTAACTTTGTTTTGCCTGAAAACTTATGGTTCAATTAAGATTAGTAAGTTTCTGTTTGGCTTAGTACTGCATTTTGTAGCTTTTCTTTCCCTTGGTGGTCTAAAAGAAAAAATTTAAAGCAGAATTTCCAGGCTGTTTTGGCAAGCTGTGTCAGATAATAAAATCTATGCTTTCAGCTGAACAAAGTACATCCTTTCTGCTTCTTTGAAATTAGGAGAAGGAAAAGTGTTTTTAAATGAGTTGTAATAATTGCTATTATATCTCTAATTACTTTTGACATTAAGAGTTTCAAGATCTGATTATTTCTTGAAAGTAAGGTGTGCGAGAATCTTTTTTAATGAAGGCATATCCCTTGCATGAAGCACAAACTTATTTTATGTGGCATGAATGCGCTTTATTAGTAATGTTAGCTGTATTTTCACTGAAATACTAATGATAGCTTCAGTAGAAATTGTGTGCTGAAAAATATGAACAATTTAATAATTGCTGGTTTACAGCTTTGGTAATAAGATTATTTTTTCCTGATGTTTCTGTTGTTTTGTCTCTAATTATATTGGGGAACAAGACAGCAGTGGTGAGCACTAGAAAGCACTTCCAGCTACAAGTGAGGAAATTAAGAAATGAGACTTCTATACATAAACTTCTGTTTGTTGTCATTATGGAAGGTAAAGGTCTCTGAGGGTTTAAACAGTCATAAAAGGTTGAGTTCATCATGGCTTTTTGTGACCTGAAAGAATAAAGTTTTTGAAGGTCATACTGTCCTTGCTCAATCGAATATTTAGAGGGTCAGTAGAGAAGTTAAACTGGGATTGATATGACTGCAAGGTATGCATTTCTCTTAGGCACTTCCACTGACTCTAAATAGTTTTGCTCTAGCTGGAGATCCAGGTCTATGGCATCTGGAAAAGGAGGAAAACAAATGTATTTGCAGATTGTTAGATTATCATTAATGCTAATCAAATAAAAGTGCGCATAAGCTTAACAGATCCCTCTGTGTAAAAATAAGTAAACTCCCCTTGGACTTTTACTTACATTTTTATGACATCCTTATGTTGAATAATTATATTTTATTATAGGCATTGCATTTTTTTAAATATTAAAATTAAAGATATTGCTCAGTTTGGGTGATTGGCATGTATTTTTGAACTCTGACTGAATTTTAAGGGGGTCTTATATTGACATTTGGGGTGTTTGTGCCATTTAATATGACCACTTAGCAAAATTAGTGCAAAATACTCTCTAGTGTAACTGCGGGTCGTTATTGGTTTTGTAGCTTCTACAGCCAAATTATTTCACTGAAATTATATTTCTGAATTTAACATTAATAGTAGCAAAGTTTCTTTGTGTATCAGCATTTTTGAAGATATAATGGAGGAGAATGCAATGTGATTTGAATTTTATTTGATGTTGTATTTTGTGTCTGGGATCTTAGAAGAAAAGTGCTGAGACCTTGTCCTGCAAAGATACTGTATTTTCTAATATTAATTTGGTAGTCTTATTAAATAAAATAATATACCTATAGTAGTTTTTCTCTGTTTTGACTTCATTCTGTGATGTATTTATTTATTACCTGAAACATGACTAAACTTTCTTTAGAAATAGTCAGCAACTACTAGTTTATACAGTTTTAGTGTAAATTTGAATAAAATTAAATAATGCCAATAATATAGTCCCACTATATTTATTTGATATACTGGCGAAAGAGCTAAATAAGCATCTTACTAAACAGAAGGAGGGATCACTGTCACTGCGGCTGTCAGCTTTCTTCTGCTGCTTTGGTTGGCTTATATGTGAATAATTGATAGATGCTCTTCTAGCTATGAGCACCTGAGCTGGGTAACTGTCATGTAAAGAGCGAATACCACCTGAGGCTGCCCTACAGAATTGTTACAGTCTTGAGTAGCACCAGTGTACCAGCTGAAATCCAGGCTTTCATTTTGTTCTGTTCAAGAAATGCTTAGTTCATATGCATGTACAATTCAGTGTTTTATGTTTTTCATTTTCAATGTTGAATGTGGTTTTCCATTTACTCTGTTTTATATATCTTTTTAATATGCCTCATGGTTTTAAACCTTCAGAAGTCATATTTTTCCACTTTTCACCATAACAAGGAGAAAATGTTACCTTTTTATGTGAAAAGTGAGAATTGTTTGTGTCGATGCTAACTTGCATAGGTCTGCTGTATGGTAGTCTAAGTTCTTGTGAACCAACACAGCCCATTGTACTCAAATGTATATCGAAGTAATTGAATACTTTACACCACTGGAAACAGTGAATGCTGTCTGGATATATAAATTGTAGAAAAGTGCAATAAAAGTAAAGCCGCAATACACGTATGAGTGCAAGGATGTTGATTAACTTGTTGCAGTCAAGAGAAATCCTTTTGGTTTATTTTTTAGTTTTAGTTGGTTTTATGTTTATTAAGTTTCCAAGAAAAAAACCCGATGATTTTTACATATTCAGATCAACACCTAAGGTTACAAATGCTCGATTTTGTTTCATGTGAATGGTTTCATGATAAGCTATATACAAGATTAGGGCCATGGTTAATGTAAATAGGGAAGAATTAGTTTAAAAAGTAGCATCTTAAATCTGTTATATAAGTAAAAATAGCGTAATTTTGAGTATGAGTTAAAATAGACTTTGAAAATACCACTTTCTTGAAGTATAGTTTTTTAAGTAGCAAAATCTCAATGATTTTGATTTTGTCAGTATCAATAAAATGGTTATGTTGTTCCTCAGGTTTTTGTGCTGGTTTTGCTGGCTTGAGTTTAAAGGTTGTGGCTTAAAGAAAAAGCAGATATATAAGTAATGCAGGCCTTTAGACTTGTAACTCTACCTTGTGTATGTGTTATAGATTAGGGTGTAAATGCAATTCCTTATAGACTGGTGTTTGACTGAAAGGGTCTGTCTTAGCCATCTTGTCCCATTCTAGAGCAATGAGGATTACAGGACAGGTGCTTAACTGAAGAAGTCCACAAAGAAATTAAACTGGTACACTTCTGAAGACCACAAAGCCCTTAACGCTGTAACAGGTATAAGACGTTTAGCACATAAAATTGAAAGCAGTAGATGTCAGTGCACCAAGGGAACAAAGGAGGAGGGAGCAATGCCATTACCAGTATTGGACCTCAGAAGAACAGGGAATTTTTTTATATTGTGAAAGGCCAGGTGATCCAAGAAGGTGTTACCCTTTTTCAGGCTAAGATTATTCGGTGGTTGTGGTTTGTTGGGGCTTTTTGGTGGAAGGAGAGCAAGACAAAATTATACTTTAAAAAAACATTTAAAAATATTTGTTTAATTGACCTGTGGTTTATTTTCTGATTTTTGCAGTGATGAGGCTAACCAAACCTACTTTATTCACTAATATTCCGGTGACTTGTGAAGAAAGAGATTTGCCAGGTAAATCTTTTCTACTGACTGATTGTTATGTATGTCTTACCAGGTTTAAGCAATGTGACCATCTAAGATATTAGAGGATTCTTATGACCTCCCCTAGAGGGGGGACTCTGAAACAGCAGTATATTTTAGATTTGGTAATAATTGAAGGAAGGTACCAAGGTGCACTCTACAGCTCTTGACCTACAACTTTGAAAGCTTAGTGATGATACTCAAATGCATGATCTCAAAGTCTGAGCAATTAACATAAAATTGAAGGCAGTTCTGTGAGAGAAATGTGTAAGTGGAGAAAGCTTGTCATTACTGTCTTTTTGTATCTGGAGAAAAGGCCCTGGTAATTAGAACCAACACATGAACGTTCTATGGAAAACAATTTTGCAAGACTGGTTTTGAATTGTATTATGCTTAGTGTGCCTTCATAAATTGGAAATCCCTGGGTTGTCCCACAGAAATAGTTGAAGTCTAGAAGTCAAGTATAAGAGTCAAAGGGAAGATTCAAGAAAGAGGATTGTGTGGAAATACAAACCAAGCAGGGGAAGAAAATAAGTGAGGTTAATTAGTTCTGTTATGTACTGTGCTTTACTTGGGTAGAATTTCCCTTAAAATTCAATGTTAATTTGAGCTATGCCTTTGGTTGGGATTGTACCCTTCAGTATGTATACTGAATAAATTATTGGATACAAGTGCACGGGAGTTAAATTAGAATTTAAAGGCAGGCCTATGGATATGTATTTCCCCCCTAAATAAGTTTATTGTAAAATAAATATATCTAAAAATAAACTACATCTAAGTAAGTGATTAAGTGTCTAACTTAAATGTAGACAAACCTTTAGACTTAGCAAATATGTAATTAATAGTAACTTGATATTTCTACAGGTAATCTCTTTAATCAACTCATGAAAGATGATCCTTCTACTGTAAAGGGTGCAGAAACTTTGATGTTAGGAGAAATGCTGACTCTGCCTCAAAATTTTGGGTAAGAAGGAATTATTGTAACTGTAACATGCAAGGTTTAGGATTCATTTAATAATAATGTGTTTATTACTTCTCTTTCTATTTGAACACCATTGTCATGCAATGAGATTTTCAGTCATTTTAAAAATAACCTGTGGTTTGATTTATAAATCTAAATCTATATATGTGTGTGTGTGTGTGCTACACGATGTTTCTTTTCTATGGCATGACTGAATTTAATAAGCATTGAAAGTTGGAAGAGATTTACAGCTGTGCGTGAATGACTAGTGTAATGCTCTGCTTTAAACCCCATCTTATATTAACACAGTTTACTACCGTGATGCTTTGGGTACTGGAAGCCATCTTCTTATTCATCTCAGATATTGAGCTGGAAAAAAAAATCTGATTTGTTTGCTCTCTTTTGAAGCTGTTTTTCTTAAAAGGATGGCTTCAGAAGTATGGGTGTGAAGATGCCAATATTCTTCTAGGATTTAATCCGGCAAACACATGTGTGTGTATATATTTTTTAAATTAGAACTAAAAGATGTTTCAGTGACATGTTCTGGTTTTTTAGTAACTGTTACTAAAAATATTTTTTTTTCCTGAACTGCAGGAACATATTTCTGGGCGAGACGTTTTCCAGTTATATTAGTGTGCACAATGATAGTAATCAGGTTGTCAAGGACATACTGGTGAAGGTATGTGATGATAAATCCACTTACTTGATTTATAAAAAAAATGATGAGTATGTTTTCTGACAATATATTGTATATATATAATGCTAATTTATAGGCTTTAGGAAATACATGTCACTTTTTCCAATCCAGAAAATATACTTGGAAATTGGAAACAGTAAGACATAAAAATAGAAATTATTATAGAAATCTTTCAAGATTAAAATGAAAAATTATGCTTGTGTCAAAAAATGGATATATTACAGAATCACAGAGTTGTTAAGTTTGGAAAAGACCTCTAAGATCAACAAGTCCGACTGTTAACCCAGCACTGCCAAGGCCACCAGTAAACCATGTCCCTAAGTGCCACATCTACACCGTCCCCACAGGGTTAGTGACTCAACCACTTCCCTGGACAGCCTGTTCCAATGCTTGACAACCCTTTTGGTGAAGAAATTGTTACTGCTATCCAATCTCAACCTTCCCTGGGTAAACTTGAGGCCATTTGCTCTTGTCCTATTGCTTGTAACTTACGAGAAGAGACCAACCCCCATCTTGCTACGATCTTCTTTCAAGCATTTCTAGATAGCAACATGGTCCCTCCCCTGAGCCTCCTTCTCTCCAGGCTAAATGCCCCCAGCTTCCTCAGCCACCCCTCATCAGACACGTGCTCCAGACCCTTCACCAGCTTCATTGCCCTTCTCTGGACACACACCCTTCTATGCAAAGCTTCTCTGAAGAATGGGTCTAGCAAAACTTTCACAGCTAAAAATATGGAGTTATATTCATTTACTTGCATACTCAATGAGGTTGTCAGAACAAGTCTATGTAAACTGCACGCTGGTTTGTATTTTGTATGAGTTGTTTTCTAGTGCTACATTTTTGTTTTGCATTTTCTGTTGAACAAATAAAACACTGAGAGTAGAAATTCCAGAAGTCATTGTGGAACTCAATGTAAAAAGCAAATAGAGATTTTATAAATTGCATATTAAAGGACTAGACCACTTACAACTTTTCGAACTTTTCTTTAGCTTTGGTAGGTTTCATCATCTTAACATATAATATGTATGAAAGTGTGTAGGGTACAAAATGCTCAGTGAAACCTAGTACTTTATAATATAAATTACTTTTCTTTAGATGGTTTTAAGCAGCTGCAGTTCTAACCAATGCTTTGTTTTTCTGTCTCCAGGCTGATCTTCAGACAAGTTCTCAGCGTTTGAACCTTTCAGCTTCTAGTGCTGCAGTGGCAGAACTTAAACCTGACTGTTGCATTGATGATGTGATCCACCATGAAGTAAAGGAAATAGGAACACACATGTAAGGTTTTAAATTTTTCTGTTGTTGAATGAGCTCAAATGAAACTGCAGCACAAGCATTCTGCTTCTGATATAGCATAGATTTAAAGTAACTCAAAATTGTTTTTTAAAAAATTATTTCTTTTCAGCTTAGTTTGTGCAGTAAGTTACACTACGCAGACCGGAGAGAAGATGTATTTCAGAAAGTTCTTCAAATTTCAGGTATTGCATGAAGTATTCCACTCTACTTTTAATAAATGTGTGAGTCCTGAAAACTCATTTTAAAACATTTGACACTTCAAAAGAACTTTTACGTACCAAAAATCTGTTCACTTTTAAAAGTGAACTATTAAAAGCCATCACTTCAAACTTCACATGAACTGGTGGTTTCTAATTGTCATACACGTAAACATTTCAGAAATAATAAATATTACATCTTACAATTTTTTTTAATTTATAGAGAAAAAAATTACTCTTAAAAAATCCCTTTTTATAGCAGCCAGCTTTATGACTGTTTTTAAACAGGATTTTATTGAACATTGTTCATGCTGACTTTGATACATCTAACCATTGAGTTTACAGTGTAAAATTCTGATTTTTCTTTTAGTGTGTGTAACCTTTTTTAAACTGGAACTTAGTGATTTGTTTTTTAAAGGAATCTAAGCAAAGATGTCTGATGTACTGTATCTAACTAATACCCACAGAAGTAATTGACGGAGTTGAAACCTTCTGTTCCATCACACAAATTTCAAGACTTGAGATTGGAGTAACTGAGGAAAGCAGGAAAATACTGTTATCTGTGGACTGATTCTGGCAAGAAAGAGTCTATTTTAGCTGTGTATTTAATGGCTGTTTGGGGATTTTTTAGAGAAACATGTTAAGATTTGGATAATTGTGGGCTCTTCCTCATGGAATGGAAGATACTCTCACAGAGTATCTGGCAGTACAGGAGCATTATATAGTTTAGTCCTGAAGTTGTGTCAGGGGTGGTTTAGGTTGGATGTTAGGAA